GACCGGTAACTGTGGTTGTAGCCATCTTCCACGACCCGGAACGTCTAGACTATCTTTCAGAGACGTCAATTCCCCGGACCCCCGAAAAAAAAGAACCCGCACTTTCGTGTCACTTACCCGAGAAGGGCGAGAAAGCAGCTGCGGAGAGGCAATCCGCTCAATGGTTTCCAGTCAGGATATGTGTCCGCTTCACTAATTAATGAAGGAAAAAGGGCGGGTTGGTTCGCCGGTTTGTCGATGACGAATCTCTTTGGGCGAATGAGCGTCGAGTATAGAGACACACACACACGCTTTCGGCGAAGCCCAAGCGATGAAATGATATGTGAATATACCTAGTGAATACCTAGGCAGAAGTCAGACAAAGGAATTGTTAGGAAAATATAAGTTTGAGATGATGTCCCCATAATAACTTGCAACGCGACCACGGATAGAGAAGATGCCATTTGATTTTCATGTACGGAGTACCGCCGCTTACATTACGGGAAGTTGATAACCAACACTAATATGGAAGTACATAACTAGGTACTTCCTATTGCATATGGATCTCTCTACGGAGTACTATGTATAATTGTCTTATCATTCCCTTTCTACCTAACTAGGTATATTTTCTATTAATAAGAAATCCCCCTTGTTCCGTCTTCGTATGTATGCTCTTCATTACGCGTCACCTGGGTCACGTGGTGTGGACCCTGATCTGCATGCAATGTCTTGGCTTTGGGAGTTAGGGCAGGGAATATTTACAACAGTTCTGATAGATAATTATAACTATAATATACGGAGTACATAACTACCTAGGTAGTTAACTAGTATAGAAGAATCCATAGCGTGGCTGTTTATGCAGCCTCTATTCCTTGGCGATACAGAACAATGGTAATCTGGTCAATTGTAGCTCAAGATGATAGTACTTCTCAGTATGTTGTAGTATGACTCGGCATATGTTCCATACTATTAATTCTATAAAGTGCCCTATCTATTAATAAGAATACCAGAGGGTACCTAGGTACTTTTCCATGTATATAACCTTCTAATGACGATATATCTTGGTCCTTGGATCTATCCAATTTGGCATAGACCTGATACTAGTTATACTGTACTATACTAACTATACTATACTAACTAGTTAACTAGTTATACTATTGTTACTATAGTATACTATATATACTATATATACATACCTAGTAACTAGTTACATGTTATGTACATATGTACATAACTAACTACCTAGGTACCTAGGTACATACACATACATGTATCCATGGATGAAACTGGAGAGAACCAACTATGCCTAATTGGGTAGTCCATGGCATATCTATATGGAAGGCTCTCTTCTGATTCTGTTCCTTCCTCGGTCTCCTGGTCTCCTGTTTCCTTTCCTCTGTTCCCTCTCTATCTCATATCCCAAACTTATTCTCCCATCCTCCAGTCCCAATCTCGTCTATTCTCACCATCCACTACTTCCTCATCTCCAAAAGTTCCCTTATGTTTACCGTCATCTCGCAAGAATCTGCTCGGAATCCTTTTCGTTGCATGTAAACTCACTTGGTTTCCAACGAGCCTGTCTGTCTCCACCTTCACGCAGCGACTTCATTATTTCTGTACCTCTTCGTTTTTCTTTTTTTTTTTTTTTGCCTCTATCTCTGGTTTTGTTTCTGTCTCACTTTTAATCTCTCCCAGTTGACAACATGTCTACCCTCAGCGGATCTTCAACACTTGGTCGAATGGGCAGTGGAGGACGTTTTGCCTCCAATGATGCCATTGATGTGCGAAATCTCTCTTTTGGACAGGAATCATCGGTACGTTTCTCGGGAGACAACTTCGAATCCAATTGCGAGAACACTAATCCAATTGTTTGTGACAGAGCCCTCAGAACTCCATTACCCATTACGGTTCTTCCGATGCGGCCGAAACATCCCGGCATGGAAAGTTGCAGGCATTGTCTGGTGAAGGGGCTGAGCACTCGGCGAGCAAGGTATGTGGTTTCCTGTGGCACTAGCTCACGCATGTGTATGTGTCTGTAGTCTCACAATCCCAGAAGCAGAAGGTAGATCATATCAAAGTTGAACCTTTGAACGGACAAACTTCGGATCTTGACAGAATACTGGCAAAGATCTCTCCCAAAACAATCCCCCTTCCCCGTTCTGAAACCGATCGCTCTTCTGTTTCGTCCCAAGTCACCCCGGCCACAACAGTGCCAGCCTTAACCATCCCTGAAACCACCAATCCCTACCCCCAGGAAGACAGAACGGTAGAGCTGCTTCGCCTTAAGCAGGAACTCCTTGCTGCAAATTCCAAGATTGCTTTGCAGGAGCAAGAGCTTGCCCAAACTCGTGTGATAAAACATACCTTAGATCAAGCCCTTGCTCCACCCTCAGAGGCTGATTTCGGTAGCCGCGAAATTACAGAGCAGACCATTAGTCACCTACAGAATGCTTTTAATGCATCGAGCTCTGCATTCGCTCAGTTTCAAGATGCGTGGGGTGCTCAAGACGATTCACAATCTGATGTCTCGGATCCATTGTCAACAGGAGCTTACAACAGATCTCGCGCGCTCTGGGCCCATAATGACCCTATCACAGACAGAGAATACAGAGATAGCCTTTCAGGCACCAGCAGCTCTACGAGTCAGGACCCAAATCGGTTCTGGGGAGTCTCCAGTGTGTATCCTCCGTTTGCCGGTCAACCGTCTTTGCAATCACAAAGACCACACTCGGGGTCCTCGGCTAGTTCATGTGGATTCTATTCACGTCCCGTCGGCGAACAGATGTTGTATGCCCCAGGACCCATTGCTAGTTCTCGTCGCTCCATTACCCAAGGCAGTAGAGGTGGCTCTCTATTTCCAATTCAGTCTACTCCTTGGGGTGAATTTGCTTCCGGGTCTGCCAGTGAGCAGACTACCAAGTCACCTGCTTCGCCGAAGAGACCCCCGAGCACCTTTCAGCAGGTCGGACTTTATTCTGTGCCCCCTTATCCCCCTCGACCAATTGGAAGCCCCCTCTCACCCACTGCGTCCGAGTTCACAGGTACCAACACGAATGAAACGACATGGACCAACTCGGTAAGAGATAATCATGTGCGTCGTGTTTGCATTCTTTCTAACTCTAGTCAGATGAGCGGTAATTCCATCCAGACATACGTGTCACCACTTGAACCGCTCAATTACCGACGCCTGCTTGACAAGAACGTGTCGTGTGATTGGAAGTACATTGTAGACAAGATCATCTGCAATAATGACCAACAAGCTTCAATTTTCTTACAACAAAAGCTGAAGGTTGGCACAACTGAGCAAAAATACGACATTATCGAGTCAATTGTGCATCAAGCCTACCCACTCATGGTCAACCGCTTTGGAAATTTCCTCATACAACGCTGCTTTGAACATGGAACTCCAGAGCAAGTCGTCGCCATAGCGAATGCGATCAGAGGCAACACACTAAATCTCAGCATGGATGCGTTTGGATGCCATGTGGTCCAAAAGGCGTTTGACTGCGTTTCAGAGGAGCACAAAGCTATCATGGTACATGAACTTCTCCGTAGAATTCCTGAGACGGTAGTCCATCGATATGCATGCCACGTTTGGCAGAAACTCTTCGAGCTCCGGTGGAGTGGCGAGCCCCCGCCGGTGATGGCCAAAGTAAACGAGGCACTACGCGGAATGTGGCACGAGGTCGCCCTTGGAGAGACAGGAAGTCTGGTCGTCCAAAACATCTTTGAAAATTGTGTGGAGGAGGAAAAGGTGAGATTGCCTATCAACCTGACCCGCTACGATACACATCAAACCCCCCTTTTCTAGCTGTCCTGCTTCTCTGTTGCTCCTTTATATTGCGTATACTAATGCCAATCTTTTGTAGCGACCGGCAATCGAAGAAGTACTGGCGAAGATCGATGTACTTGCTCATGGTCAATTCGGGAATTGGTGCATTCAACACATCTGCGAGCACGGTGCTCCCCACGACAAGAGCCGAGCTGTTGAGCATGTTCTTCGCTGGGCTGTGGATTACAGCATGGATCAGTTTGCATCGAAGATTGTGGAAAAATGCCTCAAGATTGGCGGCACAGAGTTCATGGATCATTATCTCTCTCGTGTCTGCACTGGCCGATCTGACCGACCTCGCATGCCATTAATCGATAGTAAGTTGCCCGGGCTTCAATACCATGGGAGATATTAATTTGTTTTTAGTAGCGGGGGACCAGTATGGGAACTATCTCATCCAATGGATTTTGATGAATGCCGCGCCTCACCAACGAGAGCTAGTGGCCAGTCACATTCGGTACCATTCCGTTCATTTTCTACTTCGAGTGGTCTGAAGACTAACCCGATTTAACTAGGAAACATATGGTCTCCCTACGTGGCTCCAAATTTGGCTCTCGCGTGGCTATGCTTTGCTGCAATCCATCTCACGCTACACGCCCTGGTCCTGGGGCTGGAATGCAAATCGGCCGTTTCAACAATTTCAACGAAGACAAATTTACCACCACAGGCCAGTCCGGTGGTGGTCGTTTCGGCCGCGGACATCAATGGGGACCCCATTATGCGCCACTTCGTTGAGTCTGTCCCTTGATACTTGATATTGACTTTTATCGCCATGCAAAAAGAAAGACAAAAAAAAAGAGACCTCCCTCCCCTCTCAGAATCAGAACCAACGACCAAAGAAGAAAAAGCATCGCTTCAGCATTTCAGCATTTCAGCATTTCACCCTTTTACTTACAGGCAGACAGCCTTGTCTTTGCCAGTTTGCCAGACCGTGTCATCAATATCTGTCGACCCAATTCCGAATTACCCAATCATTTCTGTGTTCCAATATTGCGACTTATCACACTGCTTGCCGATTTATTCATTTGGCTTGCTACCCCCAGTGGTTATCATTTCATTCAATCGTATAGATTGGAAATTGGGGTGTGTTACGTTAAATTTTCTTGAAGAAAATCATATTGTTATTATCCAAATTCTATTGCATTCGATTCTTTAAACCATGAACCACAAGGTGGATAGAAATATAATTTCAGGGAGCAGGAGCCCTTGCAGTCTCATCGGACGTAGTCACCACTTCATCCTTCTCCCAGGGTTTCCGTCGCCGTGGTTTCTCGCTGGAAATATCGTGGCCACTGAGCACTGTGTCTGGGATGTCTTGGATCCCGGGTATTGGTTGCCCCGTAGTGATAAGTTCCACAATGTGTGCAAACGATGATGGATAAGCAGGTTCAGGATTTTTTGAACTCTCCGGCCCAGATGTGCTTGGTCCGGATGCCTCGGAAATTTGCAAGTTTGTATTGTCTAGCCCTTGGGGCTCCGTTGTCCGCGCAGCCAACCATGATTTGAAGGCGACAAAATCAATAGCCGGGGTGAGCTTTTCTTTCCTATACTTAGATTAGTACCTAAGCTATTATTCTGCACAGGTATTCCCAAGCATACCGTGAGAAAAAGAAACATTTCGCTTGCAGGACCAGGTCGTCATCCCGATTCATCTCCACCTCGGTGGCGGGGGTTTCAGGGTGACCAAGGATTATTGAGAGGCCATTTGCAAACTCGGGATCCGATGTGAATGAGTAAGACTGTAGCCTTTCAAAGGCCTGAGCTTCTGGGGGTTGTGCCATTGTCTGATGAAGAATACACACATAAAGGTCTGGGTTGCGGTGGATGCGGAGGATGCGGAGGATGCGTGGGGCAATCTAATCTGAAGCTATGTGGCCCTGGTTGCCCAGGAGTAACCGAGGCTCATCTGCTCTTGTGCATCCTCCAATTATTTGCATTACACCTTTTCTACTTCTCTCAAAAATAGTGAGAGCCACATGGTACTTGTGAAAAAAATTCGTATTTTTGGTATATATAGACGCCTTACCTCCCTCCCGTATGCTACCTTTTTCGGCCTATGAACAGAAAAATCCAGGGATATCTTGCGACGCCAAACCATGCAATATTGAGATAATTCCACGCCCTAGACCGTAATATCTATCCCACCGGATGTTAGGTTGGCTGCCCCAGAGTGCAGTGGTGTACTCTTCTTACTTTGACAGCCAGGACAGTTGTGCACAACCTCATGGGCAAAGAGATCGCAATCGATACAGAAGTGATTATGACATGCGGTACACTCGTAGCGACTGCTCACACTCATTCCCTTGGTCTGGTTCTCTGCCATTTGCCAGTGATCTTCCAGAGGCACAGGCGGAAAAAAAAGACCACAGGCAAAGCAAGCGGAGCTTCGCGAGGCTCGACGCCACGGTACCTCAACCCAGTTGATCAATGGAAATAGGTGATGATATGATCGTGCCAGATGAGTTGAAAGGATCAATGTGAGCCCACAAGATGGACATTCGGCAGGAAGACTACACACTTTGCTGTTGCATCGTGAGCAAAGATAGCCTCCTCGTGAGGGCTTTGAATGGCATGCGCAGAGCGAGGGATCGGACTCCACCGTACGAGAAGGGAACCCCATCATCAGCAATGAGCTTGCAGATTCTTTCTGTGAGTAGGCAGCCGGGGGTGTAGTCACGTCCATCATCAGCTCCCGAAAATGCTGCTCATTCAGTGCTACACCATATGCTGTTTCATCACCACCATTGGTTTTTGCACAAATTTCCCGGCAAATTGCAACCTGCGCTGCAAGCCCCACGATACCAACCCGGATTTTGTCGCTAACCAGGGTATCTATCGTTTGGCGGATGTCTCCAGGATCAGAGGAAAGGAGGGAACCATATATAAATAGTACCTCTCGAGTGCCATGGCTAGGTGTATGGCTAAGTTCACTAGTTAGTTTCGTTCAAATTCCCCCAGGCTACATGTGGCTGGTGTAAAGACGTACAAGAGAGCACCACGTGCCATCTCCAATCCATTCTGAAGACTAGGCAAACCTTTCGGATCTTGTGTTTTGAGGGCTTGGATGGCTGCGAGGTGTTCTGTTGGATTGCCACTCATGTCACTGACTCGGAGCGCAAGGCCGTCTCTCAATCCGAGGACACCAAGCTGGGAGATGGGATTTTGTTCAAAAAATTCTCTCACGAATTCCTGGGCATATCGGAGAGTCAACAAGTATCTCGTGGGTCGCAAGTCCTTCTCGGACATGGATTGTGAAAGATCCAGAATTAGGATGAGATGTCGAATGATACCGCGCTGTAGTGGTGTCGTATCTTTCAAGAGCCTGGACGACCGATATACACTTCAGCAAGAATATATGGACGCTGTAAGGGGAAGAGACTGACCTTTTTCGTTTTCCAGCCTCCAACAGACCTTCGACGGTGGAGTTGATGGTACCATCTGCACCCTCCACCAATGTCTCCCAGGTTCTGGATAACTCCCACTCTGCGCCCCCGCGTTGCTTTCTTTTAGCTCGCGGATTATCGCCCCGAGTCACCTGTAAATCATCTTCATCTTCTGTTACCTCACCCACATATTCTTCGTCGGAGTCGGCCATTATTCGTACGTAAGAGTGGAGAGAGAGAAAGAGAGACACAAGAGATAGGATCCAAACGGAAGACCGAAAATGGTCCAAGCTTCCGACGGAGCTCCGTTGGAGAATATCTTCTCCTTATCTCATACAAAGTAACTCAGCCTTAGGCATTAAAGACCCTTGCCTGAAAATTAAATCACCGCCTTCTCGATCGGGTGCAGCACTGATGTCTGATTCTACCTACCTCTCTATACACCGCCTTTGTGTCAAACTATCCTATGACGATAGTAGATACAAAACATATAACTAGTAAAAATAAGTAATCAATATTCTTTAGATACCTAGGTAGGTAATCACTAGGTTACCTAAGCTATAATAGAGTAAGAGAAAGGTTCATGGTATGCCTCATTTATCCCTAGTTAGCGAAGCTGAAACCCCTTCAAATTGCGGGTGTAAGGTTCATACGTCCAAGAGCACAAGTTGCAAAGTCTCGTAAAAGATCAAGATCAAAGAAGACGGAACCGTTAGGATTATGACACCCTGAGCCAAGAAGATCACGTCGGTTAATGACGCGTTGTTAGTTGACTATCGTAAAATCATGGGGGTAAATGACCTATATGATTTTTTGGCGAGCCTTGACCACTTGACGATAATGACGACTTTGATGTCGCCATTACCTCCAACCAGCAAGACTGAGTAAGTAACTACAAGATCATAATTGAATTAACCATGAATCCTAGTACATGAGTACCAAGTATTTTACCCGTAAAATCAGCACCACTTTCTACACCATTCTATACCTAGGTACGGTTCTACACAGTGTAAATGTAAATATGAAGCTTTTGATACCATATACGGGCGACTTAGTAACCCGACACATAACTCTATCATTGGTTTAGGCAATAATTTAGATCACTTCACTAACTAACTACCATGTTGAATCTATAACTAGTTAACTATAGTATTTTTATAAATGAATACTATATTAATTTTTAAAAACCGGGCTTTTCATACTCCTAACTCTTGACTCTTAACTCTTGAAATCTTACTATTTCAAATCTGAATTGAACCTGAATTGAATCTAAATTGAATCTATAAAGTGTAGTTATATAAAGTTAAAATTAGTAAATGCTTCAAGAAGGCGGTAATGGACTAGGCGGTGAGGTAGTAACCAATGAGAGAGTTATGTGTCGGATGGGCATATTTAGTCGACCGTAAACATAGTCGCCAGTCGCAATCCCTTTCAAACAAAATTCCTTTTTTTTTCTTTTGAAAATAGCTCCGACGATAGCCGTAGGAGTTTAAGCTATAGAATCCCCCCGATGTGGGGAAGAAGATCCATTTGTGCTGGCGTAGCATTTCAAGTTCTCCGCCCAGTCACTGTCCGCCCTACCCCTCCTCTTCTTTCTCGCACACTACATAAACTTTCTCTTTCCCATTCTTCTCCTCGACTGCGACCTCGACTGCCTACACCTGCTGCCACATTATATCTGAGTTCCCCTCCCGTTAGGCATTGTTCCGCCGAAGTCCGCATGATGGCGTCTCAAGAACGAGAGACACTTCCTGACGTGTGAGTGATGCCCCGCTTGGGTTACTCTGTGCCCTTTTCCCCCTCTCTTGCGTTTCCCACATTTGAGCCCTCGCTATCTTTCTGGTTTATAGCGTTGGAAACTGATATATGACAATAGGGCTAAGCCTATCAATTATCACGTCTCTCTTTTCGACTTGCAGTTCGGTGGTTCATGGGAATACAAGGGCGCGTTGAAGATCGATCTCAAAGTCACTCGTCCTACTAGCGAGATTGTGCTGAACTCGAAGGAGATCGATGTACAAAATGCCGAGATATTGGGGAAAGATGGTACGTGTGAGAGCATGTCATTCGTATGATGGGGGAGGAAACCAAGCTAATACCGGTCTTGTCATAGGGAGCCAATTGGCCAAAGCATCCGGAATCACCTACGACAAGCAATCGGAGCGTGTTTCCCTCGCTTTCTCGCAAGAGATTGAGCCAGCAGACGTTGTGCTTTCCATCAACTTCACGGGCACCATGAACAACGCTATGGCTGGCTTCTACCGCTCGAAGTATAAGCCCGTCGGAGAGCCATCTGCCGACACCCCCAAGGAGGATGACTTCTACTACATGCTAAGCACTCAATTTGAGTCCTGCGACGCACGAAGGGCATTCCCTTGTTTCGATGAGCCAAACTTGAAATCCACCTTCGATTTCGAGATTGAAGTCCCCAAGGGACAAACTGCATTGAGCAACATGCCTGTCCAATCCGAAAGAGACGGGAGCAAGCCCGGTTTGAAATTTGTCACGTTTGAGAAGACACCGGTGATGAGCACATATCTTCTGGCCTGGGCAGTTGGTGACTTCGAATATGTTGAGGCTATGACCGAGCGCAAATACCAGGGCAGGAGTATTCCCGTTCGAGTTTACACCACTCGGGGCCTTCAAGACCAGGCTCGTTTTGCACTAGAATGTGCTCACCGCACGGTTGACTATTTCTCGGAAGTCTTCGAAATTGAGTACCCCCTCCCCAAGGCTGATCTCCTGGCTGTTCATGAATTTGTGAGTAACCATGTATTCCCTATGAGTTCCAAGCTTTTAATTTGAGCTAATTGTGGGTTTCTAGGCCATGGGTGCCATGGAGAACTGGGGTCTTGTGACCTATCGAACGACCGCTGTTCTCTTCGATGAAGGAAAGTCGGACAACCGCTACAAGAACCGCATTGCTTATGTTGTAGCTCACGGTCAGTCCCTATATTCATTCAATTCCTGGGTATCTAGGTGTCAACATAGCTCTGGTATCTGACTCGATTTATAGAGCTGGCACACCAGTGGTTTGGCAACCTTGTCACCATGGACTGGTGGAATGAGTTGTGGCTGAATGAGGGATTCGCAACCTGGGTCGGTTGGCTTGCCGTTGATCATTTCTATCCTGGTGAGCTTTGTTCGCTTCTAGCCGATGAGCGTCTGACGCAGTATCTAATGTGCAAGCAGAGTGGAATGTCTGGTCTCAGTTTGTCGTACGGAATGCCCGAGGTAATATCCATCATGCTAAGACCGATATTGACGTTCCCCCAGGCTGAAGGTGTGCAACAAGCATTTCACCTCGACTCGCTCCGCGCTTCCCACCCTATCGAAGTTCCCGTTCGGAACGCCCTCGAAGTCGACCAAATTTTTGACCATATTAGCTACCTGAAGGGAAGCTCTGTCATTCGCATGCTGAGTGTTCACCTCGGTAGAGAGACTTTCTTGCGTGGAGTTGCGGACTATCTCAAATCCCATGCATATGGTAGGGCGCCGAGGAAAAGGATTTTGGGGAACATCTGCTGAGTGGTTATAGGAAATGCAACCACAAATGACCTGTGGTCAGCGTTGAGCAAAGCCTCCGGTCAGGACGTGCATTCTTTCATGGTAAGTAAACACCCAACCCTTGGCTCTTTGTTTGGCTCTCTGTATGGTCGACTCGAGATCTAACTGTTCTGCCCTAGGATCCCTGGATTCGCAAGATCGGTTTCCCGGTTGTCACCGTGACAGAGGAGCTCGGTCAGATCACCGTTAGCCAGAATCGATTCTTGTCTACCGGCGACGCGAAGCCAGAGGAGAATGAGACAAAATGGTGGATTCCTCTTGGCATCAAATCCGGCCCGGAGCTGGCTAGCGTTGACACCCGTGCTCTGACCTCAAAATCCGACACCGTTGGAGGAATTGGGGAGGACTCCTTTTACAAGATCAACAAGGACCTGTCTGGGTTCTACCGAACCAACTACCCTCCTCTGCATCTGGCAAAGCTGGGCCAATCGCTTGATCTCCTGAGCACCGAGGACAAAATCGGTTTGCTGGGTGATGCGGCTGCGCTTGCAGTCTCTGGTGAGGGCACCACGCCCGCCTTGTTGACTCTTCTGGAAGGATTCAAGGACGAACAAAATTATCTGTAAGCTACATCTCTTTATGATCCTTTGCTGTCATTTCTGACCTCTCATCTTGCAGTGTTTGGTCCCAAGTATCTGCGTGTCTGGCGAACCTTCGGTCGGTTTTCTCACAAAACGAGAAAGTGGCCGAGGGGTTGAAACAGTTTACCCTTAAACTGGCTTCCCCGGCCGCAGAACGGATTGGCTGGGAGTTCAAGCCCGATGAAGACTACCTCATTGTCCAGCTTCGGAAGCTGCTCATTGCAATGGCCTGTAATGCGGGTCATGAAGTGTGAGATATTTTCCCTCGTCTCCGAATGCCGTTGAACACTCTCTAATACAGTCTCGGTATTTCATAGATTTGTCTCGGAGGCCAAGCGCCGTTTTGATCTCTGGGCGACCGGAAAAGATGCCAATGCCATTCATACTAATCTGCGGTCAGTGATTTTCAGCGTCAATGTGTCCGAGGGCGGCCATAAGGAATACGATGCCGTTAAGGAGGAGTATATCCGAACCGACTCTGTGGATGGTAAAGAGATCTGCCTGTCTGCCCTTGGACGCACAAAGGATGCTGCTCTGGTAAAAGACTACTTGAACTTCGTGTTTTCAGATAAGGTGGCTATCCAGGACATCCACAGTGGTGCCGTCTCTCTGGCCGCCAACTCGAAGGTCCGGCATTTGCTATGGCAGTACATCAAGGACAACTGGACTGCTGTCGAAACACGACTATCATTTAACAATGTTGTGTTTGAGCGCTTTGTCCGTATGGGTCTATCAAAGTTCGCCGATCACCAGATCAGTGACGATATTGCATCTTTCTTCAAGGACAAGGAAACGGGGGCCTATGACCGCGCACTCGTGATTGTCTCGGACAACATTCGAACCAATGCATCCTATAAGGAGCGTGAGGAGGCGTTGGTTCTCGAATGGTTGCGGGCACACGGTTACGCATAAATGCGCATCCGCATCTACGCACATGGTGGCTTTACGATCGTTTAACAATAATAATTGTTAAGCTAAACTGGGGGTTTTTTGGGGACTTTTGATATAATGTAAAATGGGGATTCTGGATTTTGGATTCTGGATTCTTTAGACCATTAGTCCAGTACCAGTACCAGTACCCACGAGGCTGAGTTTACGCACGGGATAACAGCAGTTGAGCAGGTGATCTCGGATATGAGAGGTGGAATTAAGTCTAGAATGCTCTTGTGATGGGTACATCTATAAAAAGAGAAACATTATTCAAGAAGAGGCATATATACATATATATATATATATATAAAAAAATATACAAAATAAAGAAAATAAAGAAAATAAAGACAATCCGAGAAGTGGTTGTGACGTGAAACAAAGCTGCGCATCAGGTGCGTCTGCCTTCCTGAACCTCCTATCATTTCAGGCGACTGTTCCATCATTGTCCCCTCCCCCGACTTCATAGGAACTTCGACTCCATCAACTTATTTTTCTTCTCCCTTATATTCCTCTGGACCTGTGTGTGCTCTACCTCTGCTTTCATTTCACCTTCTTCTCTGCCTCCAAAGTCTCAATCATGAATCCCGAGTGGTAAGCCTTCCCCATTTCACATCTCCCCTCCCGCCCCCCAAATCCCCTTCCAACTATGCGCCCTGCCTTGGTTGACTATACGAGCCTTCTTGTGTGTTGAACTTGACTGATGTGATGTTGATTTCTAGAGTATCGTCGCGTCCCTGATCTGACCGTCGCACGACCCAAATTCCCAAACTTGCCGATCTCCGTTGCCTAACCATCGAGATAGATACGATTACCTTTTCAAGCTGCTCCTCATCGGTGACTCCGGTGTTGGAAAGTCTTGCCTGCTGCTTCGTTTTGCCGATGATACCTACACCGAAAGCTACATCTCGACAATCGGCGTTGACTTCGTACGTCTCGGAAGCTACAGGGTATTTGGCCGCAAGAGAATAGCGGTGCTAACAGGTCATCATAGAAAATCCGCACAATCGAACTCGATGGCAAGACTGTGAAACTTCAAATCGTATGGCAATATTGAACACCAAACATCTGAAAACAAAGCTAATAATATCTACAGTGGGACACCGCCGGCCAGGAGCGATTCCGTACCATCACATCTTCTTACTACCGGGGCGCTCATGGAATCTGCGTGGTTTACGATGTCACCGACATGGATTCCTTCAACAACGTGAAGCAGTGGCTCCAGGAGATTGATCGGTACGCTACCGAGGGTGTTAACAAGCTGCTCGTCGGAAACAAGAGCGATATGGAGGACAAGAAGGTCGTGGAATACACCGTTGCGAAGGTATGTTTAAAGAGAAACCCAAGGCCGTTCGGGCAAACTGTTAACAGGGTTTGATTGCACCTTTACAGGAGTTTGCTGATAGTCTTGGAATTCCTTTCCTCGAAACTTCGGCCAAGAACGCGTCGAATGTTGAGCAGGCATTCTTGACAATGGCACGACAGATCAAGGAACGCATGGGAACGGCCACTGTCAACAACAAGCCGACTGTGCAGGTTGGCCAGGGCCAGGGTGTCCAGTCTGGATCCGCAGGTGGCTGCTGCTAAACGACACGACGTTCTCTTTGTGTGGTGCGGTGCTTCAGTTTGGCGCAATGTTACATCATGAATTGAGGGGTTTCAAGCGGCGTGGTATCTAATGGGCAGAAGTCAGGCTTGTCAGGTCTTTGGAAACTAAACTTGGCATATTCCTGGCATAATCTCTGATGGGCAAGGAGAAGCTTCTCCACGCAGCTGGCAATCGTTCTGATAATGCCGTTGGGGGGGGTTCTTTCTTGCCTTGGATTCACTTTAGACGGCCTGCGTTCTATCCTCGTTTTCTGCGTTTGCTTATGCTATTACCGCCGGTTTCTGCGTTCTCATGATTTCCTAGCCACGTCTCTGCTCTATTATCTTGGCCCATCATTCCCTCTGTGTCTTCCCCCCTTTCACCTTTCTATTTTCTATTTTCGCTTTTTTTTTTTCTCTGTAGGTTGGATTTCTCACTTGTGAATGGAATAATAGCGAGAACCTTGCGACTTGTCAAGGCATGCTGCCTTATATGGGGCTACTTTTTCTATTTTTCTATTTTTCTATTCTTTTCTAGTAGCCTAGTGTGTTGTCTTATGTAGATTGTCCCCCTGAGTTAAATATAAATTGTATAATTCTATGCACCGTTAAGGCTTTCTACAACATTATGAAGGTATATATAATCACATGCAAGTCACAGGTGCCGACTCACACCAAAGTAATATAACTAACTAACTATAGTTAGATCATGATCAACACATATATGACTAGTTAGCTCACCTTGGAAGATACTACCTAGGTAGTCCGGAGATATTACCCAAATTTCGGTTTATTTGAATGTGACACACATTGTAAGTTACTCAATTGACATGCAGGTACCGGGAACATTAAGAATATCCAAATCAAAATCCAGTCATTCAACTATACAACATACTCCGTACTCCTGAATTTACGCTATGGGCACTTCGGAATGCAGTGGAGTTGGGTGAAAGAGCCGAGGTAACGGAGTACACACTTCGGCAAAAACGTCATGAACATCCCATCCCCTTTCAAGCCGACCCCCATATGGTAAACTTCTAAAACATTCTTAATCTGACATATTTCATCTTCTTTCGCTCTTTACAGGCTATACATTACACCTGAGGCACAGTTCAATAATTCAAAATCCTTCCCATCATGCCTCAACCTGCAGTCGAGAGTAAGGCGGCATCTGCTGCTATTCAGCAGAGTGATAACATCGCACACGCGCTGGCAGGTGCGGGAGGGGGGTTCTGTCGATGGTCTTGACGTATGCTTCCCCGCGTTTTCCCCATAGCTGCCGCTAACCCCCATACCCACTCCAGATACCCTCTGATCACTTTATCGACAAGAGCCCAAGTTGAGTCGAAGCGTGCGCACTCGACCACCCTCGATGCCGTACGCCGCATTGTACAGAGAGAAGGTATCTCGGGTTTATATTCCGGTCTGGAATCAGCCTTGTTTGGAATCAGCGTCACCAATTTTGTGTATTACTATTGGTATGAATTCACGCGTTCGGCCTTTGAGAAGGCCGCCATCCAGGGAGGCCGAGCCTCGAAAAAGCTCACGACGGTGGAGTCTATGATTGCGGGCGCCATTGCAGGGAGCGCCACAGTGCTGATCACCAACCCGATCTGGGTCATCAACACTCGCATGACTGCCCGCAAGTCTGAGGCGGAGGAAACATTGCCTGGTGCCAAGAAAACAAAGGCATCCACCCTCAGCACCCTAATGGACCTGCTCCGGCAGGAGGGCCCCAAGGCCCTATTTGCCGGCGTCCTCCCGGCGTTGATTCTGGTGATCAACCCAATTCTGCAATACACTATTTTCGAGCAATTGAAAAACGTGGTGGAGCGCCGCCGGCGTATGACGCCGAAGGATGCGTTCTACTTGGGCGCACTAGGAAAAATCATGGCCACCAGCCTCACATACCCATATATCACCATCAAGAGCCGAGCTCATGTGGCCAGTCGGGATGGCCCCAAGGAGAGCTTGAACGGAAGTCTGAAGAGGATTATTCGGGAAGAAGGCTGGAAGGGGCTCTACAAGGGTAAGTGATTTTTGGAAAAATCATACCTGGTGGGCTGTTCACTGACATATGTTCCAATAAGGTATTGGACCCAAGGTCACCCAGAGCGCCATCACTGCTGCATTCCTTTTCGCGTTCAAGGATGTGCTGTATGATATGATGGTGTCTGCCCGTAGAAAGGGTCGCATTGCTAAATAGACAGGACATGTTTTCAAGGCTACCAGACCTATCTCACAACTTATATGGTCACACTTTCTGGAGAGACAAGACTGGGACTCTCAATGTCCACCATGTATACTGGTTTGAGTGTACAGAGGTGCTGACCTTCATTTCAATTTCCCACTATAAAGAATGGGTTGGTTAAGCTTCTTGGAAGTTGTTAGGAGCTTTTGGGAGCTATTTTTAAAACGATACCCAGGTACTCTGTCAATATGTAGTTTAGTTGTTTAGTTTTTTTTTAACCTGAAATCCACTCTTATACTTCTTCAATCCTTTTTCCTTTTTCTATAATTTTTTCCCTTTTAAACAAAAAAAAAAGAAATCAAAAAGACATCCATAGTTACTTGAAAGTTGAGGCCTGACCGCCTTACAATGGGTTCATCGCCCACCGCCGTTGTTACCCGCGTTGTCGCGTTCTCAACGCGATTCTGCTTCATTTCTCCACACTTTTCTCCTGTATCTTCTTCTGCAATCTGGGCAATTCTCGGTTTTGCACATTGATTTCCCTGCCCCTCTCTCCTTCAATCCCTCCTTGAGCTTCTATACATACTCCTCCTAGGTATGCTTCTCCCAGTCCCTTTAGACGAGAAAACCTCCTAATGCATGACAGATTCAAGCTTGCCTCTCCGTTGTCGCATTGCCTATGTAACCCTCTTACTCTCGACTTGGAAGATCTGCGCTCGCTACAGATATTTTCCATCGTACTCATTCAGAAACAACATCTTGAACGGCTGTATTGCTTAGGATCCAGCTTTGATAGGGCTGTCAAGGCTATACTGGGACAATCTATTTCCTAGCAAAGCCATCCAAAGCCTAGGCTTGATTTTGCCAAATAAAGGAACGGAATCACGTCTAAGAGATCGACGACGGGCTGGAAGGCAATAACGGAAACCCCAGGTTCAGTGTGAACAAAGTGAGAGCGGGGGCCGATGTTATGTCTTTCTCACTTTGCCATCGTCCGACACCAGACGTGACTGAGGCCAAATCCATATCATCCAAGTCAAACATGTGAGAGAACTCTCTTGTTACTTTTGTTATTCATATCTGACCTTTTTTTTCCTTCTCTCTAGCTCGGAACATCAGCTGTGGTACTAGAAATGTCTCACGGCTTTTCCAGTCTTAATGGCCAGGGTATTGTCCCTGCATTCCCTGGTCTGTCAGCTCGAAGCATCCCAGAAAACCCAGATATTCAACGTGAGACTCTCCGTTTGCTAGTGCAGTATTCGAGAGTCTCCTCTCTGCCAGAGAATCCGTCAACTCCGGCCACCTCTGGCCATACGAGAGACGAGGTCCAAGATGCCTGGCAGACTCCGCGGACTGAAGTCCAGCCCAGCGAGGCATCACCTCTCCAAATGTCACCTCGAGTTACGCGTTCATCAAGTGGCAGCCATGCCACTCAACCTTCTCCTTCTCGCTCTATCGCTCCTTCCTCTGGCAGTCCAGTCCGGGTTTCCCCCCGTACATCTTCACGCGCTTCCTCCCACGCGCCTTCCCGCGCGCCTTCCCGACTTACATCTCCTCAATCTGCTTCTGTCTCTGTCTCTTCATCACATGGCATCTCTCCCAGTTATCGCGAGCGCCAACGGACGCTTAGGGAGAGTGTGGCAATCTCAAACGCCAATAGGAAGGATGAGATAGTTGCTCCTATGTCAAAGCAGCACTTCTCTTATCCACCAGACACCATGTTGTCTGCCTCCAGATCATCTCAATCCTCGCGGTCAATATCCCCGACTGCCGAGCAAAGCTCCATTCGTCGCTCTGGTCGAAATAGAGTCCAACCAACCAACTATTATGCCAACCCTTGGGTCAACGTTCCCATTGACTCCGAAGAGCCAGACACAAACGTGGAAGCTATTTTGGACACCGTCGCGTCTTCTCCACAGGAGCCGCGTCGCGTTTTACCCCGTCGTGCAAATGTTCAAAAGCTGCTGTACAGCCGTGAGCTTGGAGGCGGAAATCATCGCCCCATTGTCACCGATGTGGTCTCGGACCTGAGACCATGGAAATCATGGCAAGGTGCTTCGGGGGATCTGCTTGTTCTGGCTTGGTCGCCTGATGGTACTCGGTTTGCGGCAGGCGCCGCAGCTAAATCAGACGAACATAATATGCAGTACAACAAGGCCAACAATCTTCTCTTAGGCGATCTTCAGAGTAATCGTCTGAAGGAAATTCCGGACCATTGGATTCCACGGCCAACATCGTCAACAGTTGATGACCCCCGGCTTTTCATGAGCGTCAATAACATGCAGTGGATTGGCAACAGACTCTACACCGCTAGTTTTGACAAAACTGTCAAAATTTGGGACGTGGAGTCAATCGGCAACGTGTCCTGTACCCATACCTTGCAGCATGAGTCTCGAGTGGCAGTGATGTCCGTGTCGAGATTCAGTCCGTATATCTTGGCTACAGGGACAGAATCAATTTTGGTCTGGGACACAAAAGATCCGGAAAATTTGACATCGACTCTCCTTCCATTCGACCGCGATGCACGGTATAGGCCCAACTTTGAGTTCTCATCAACGGCCCTGGCCTGGGGGCATACTCCGTCGACTGAGGAATACTTAGCTGGAGGTCTGGCTGAGCCAGGTGAGGATCCAATATACAAAGGCCACTTAGGCTTGTGGCGAGCCCGCGAATCCGCGTATGAGACCATCAGAATGTCTTCCAACTCACAAAATGTCTTCGACATTAAGTGGCACTCTTCGTTGCCCCTCTTTGCAACGGCCAGTCCTGAGGATCCTCATAACGCGCGCATTAAAGGGATTGGCATTACCACGAAATCAATTGTAAGGGTGTTTAGCCTCAACCATGACCTCCAAAAGCGTGTGCCGTCTGTGATGGAATTTTCCTGCCCGGCATTGGATGTTAATGAGGTCAACTTTTGTCCAATGGATTCAAACGGCACATATGTGACCGCTAGTTGCACCGATGGTAAAACCTATGTTTGGGATAATCGGAAAGGTGATAGGATTCTCCACGAACTTCGCCATAGGGCCCCCCTTAATCCCATTGATCACCAGCGAAGCCGGGAAACGGCAGATGTGGGTGTTAGGGTAGCTCTCTGGGGTTCTTCTATGGACCAATTTTATACCGGTGCCTCCGATGGCATCCTCAAACGATGGGACATTCGCCGGTCACCCGAAGATGTCCTCGTTGAGGATGTCGCAACTTTCGATGAGGAGATTATGTGTGCAGCCTTCACCGAGGATCATTCTCATCTCCTTGTCGGGGGTTCTGGAGGAGGCGTGCATATACTATCCTCGGGTCCTTGTTCGGACCCTAACATGAAAACTTTCGAGTTCGAACATGCCCCAGAACCCGAAAAGCCCAGCGATAGTGGCATCGTTGCGGGAAACCAGCTCCTCCTATCTGGCCAGCTTGTCAAGCACGAAACGTTTGGTATGGGTCAAGGGCCCTCTTACACTGGACCTTTTGCCTCGTGGGCTAGGAACGTCAAGCAAGATGTTTCCCCCGACCGAATTGGGCAGCTCCCTTTGCTTAAGAAATACCAGAGCCAACAGTTGGATGGTCCACCACCGGAAGATCGGCATGAACTGGACTCAAACCAACGACGAGAGGTTGAAAGGCAAATACAACTTGCGGAAATACGAAATCGAGGATTCCACGGGGGAAAACGCCAGGAGCATAATGGTCCTTGTACGTCCATCTTCCAAACCCCTGTATCTTTGTCTTCCCTTGGTTCTTCCCCGGCAGGAAAGAAGAGGAAGAAAAAAGCCATGAAAATGGAAGTCAAAAAAGTGAAAAGGGAAGAATATCAAGAGGAGGATGGAGATAAGAAAGAGGATTATGGAGAGGTCTGTGGAGAGAATGGAAAAGACAACCGAGAAGAGAAAGCCATAAAAAAACCTCGGATGAAAAAGAAAGCTCGCAGGCTCTCCCGTCGGATAATCAGCAACACCGAAAACGTTGACCTGACTCTATTGGACTCGGATACGGAGATGGGGACTTCACATCGACAGCGGTTTGACCTTGGGGAACTACTTGAGCTTCTTGAAGAAGATAACTGGTTCCCAGCTAGTGGAGAAATCGATCCTAACATCCAAAAGGAGATCGTCTAAGGTGACCCCTTTCTCGACACTGGTGATATATTTTGCATAGCATGGAAGCGTGGAGTTCTGATTTAGTTTTTTTTTTTTTTTTTTATCTTAAAGAAATTCACGTTACAGCGGCAGAGAGAGCTATTGATGATATTTGTGGATGTCAATTTGTAGGATAATATGACTTGATAGGCTGAAATATTGAATGTGGTAGCCCTGTACGGAGTACTCTGTAGGTCTATAAATCTATAAACCTATAGATATGTAGATATATAACTAGTTGATATAGATATATAGATATATAGATATAGATCTATCTATACATACAGTCGTTCTCGAAATCGGCTTGACCAACCAGTACTCACTCAATCACTCTTTCCTGGCTCTACCGCCAAGGCTCTTAGCGCATTTTGTCGAACTAAGAATAAGGCCCCCTAGGCCATAAATATGAACTGAGGTTTTTGTTAATGGTCTAGTGGTAAAATAGCCTATATTTATTCCTACCTAGGTATACATTTCATTATTAAGCTGCGACGGAAAATTGAGGGCGTAGTAAGATACGGCTTATAAAGTATATAATAGCCTAAGAGACGTTATATTACAATACATATATATGGAGTCCGTGGAATCTATGGGGCTTCGTCGTGGGTTGTAAATCTGGTTGCGCGAGAGCCACTGCCGCCTTATTTCCGCAGATCCCCCCCCGGAGGCTCGTGCCCAACCTCCCAACTCAACAACCCCGCCCACTTCTCACCTTCCGACCTGCGAACCACTCATTACCTTACATCCATATCCTCTACAGCAACCATAATATTAAACACAAACCTACAATTGAGGGCATACGACAAAATGAATCGCGTTCAACGTCTTCAACCATCTTTCCAAGAATCTAGCCACGAGGCTGGTGCTTGGAATCTTTCGACGGAAATAGAATCAGACATCACAACACTAGCCGCAATCTGTCAAATCAGGCATCAACAACGTGCTCCCTTGAGGACAAATGTGGACGGAGATGTGAACTCCGCGGAAAGCGCAGGGGACGAGCAAATGCATGTTGATAGACAGCCCGCGACGAGCATTGCCGATTATCTGACGGAGGAGGGTACGAAGTCGGTGAAGATGCGGTTTCTTGATCGGTTGGCTGAAACACTGTGCTACAAAAAGGATCCGCACTATGTAACTTGTACAGCTATGCAGGAGACCGCTGACGAGGTAAATATTCTAGCATTGAGGAATGCTAGATGGGGGGAAAGGACATCAAGCTCCTAGAGGAGGTAGCGAGGCAGCTGGAACTAGTCGCAAACAGAAGTATGCTTGGATTGCGTATTGACAAGTATTGATCGGTCTCCCCAAGTCTAATTTACGATCAATAACAGAACCCTTTGACATTGAGACTTTACCAGACCTCCAAGCAATGCTCAGCGAATACTATACTCCACGCCTTCATCATCATGCATCACAGCTTCTCAACCTGGTGGTAGAGAAGAAGGAAATGTGGAAGTTGGTTGCATGTTTAAAGGCATTTGACTCAGGAGAGATCTCTTCAACAATTTTAGTGAGCATCATCTACGACATTTGCTACAGCACAACTTTCTACTCTGAGATCAATCGACTCTTTACAGACAAGCAGGTCAAACGACTAGTCCGTGAGTTGGGCTTTCTTTGTCGCCCTAAATACGCCTACATCACATTTTGGGAAGCAGCGCGCGAGATCGAAGGTTTCCAGAGCATGAAAATTACGCTCGTACCCGGAGCTAAAGCAAGGCACGTTCTACCGAGCATATCGTTGTGCCCCCAATCATCAAACAAAGCGGACCAAAAGGTTCGGTTGGAACTCCGAAAGAAGAAATGGATCCATGCTGAGATGGGAATGGTTACCCATCTCATTAGCAAGGACAGTATTACTCAAACTTTTACATACCTCGGTATCAGCAAAAAGACATGCCTTATGTGTGGCCACATCCTGCAAAGCTTGGGTCTCTTTCAAGCCCGCGACAATCATGGCAAAGTCTATTCACAATGGACGTTGCCCAGCTCTCTAATTATCCCGTCTTCACATCGAGCCAAGCTAGACCCTGCAGTTCAGAGCCTCCGCGATATGTTGCGGCATGAGTGTGCTGTCAAAGATGACCAACACATCGATGCGGTCAAAGAGTCAACTATTTCAACTCCAGTGGCGCCGAAAACAACGGAATGGTCCCCGTTCCATCGCCACATCCCAGATCCTCTGTCCCAGGCAAGACAAGCAGAGTGGTTGTCAACACTCAGCTCAAGAGCAATAGCTGACAACAGGTGAGAGGCTCAGTTTTCAATATTATTTAGCAAACTTATTTCTGCTATAGAAGCAACCAAAGTCAGACGAACATTCCTGACATATCTCATGTTCCTGAAAGAGACGAGGCCCAAACTCCGGATTTCAATGGTCCCCAGTCGACATCCAGGTCTTGCGCCCAATGCCATACAACAATAGGTCCACTGACTCCCTGCTCAAAATGTGACACGGCATTGTACTGCAACGATATGTGTCAAAATCTGCACTGGTTAGAGCACAAGTATTCCTGCAGGCTCGGAAGGCCCTTAGACGAGGCGGACGACTTCATTCTCATGTGCACACGAAAGGAATTTCCAGCAGATGATCTTGTGGCAAAGGCTTTTGGCTTCCTATATTTCGCATCCGCCAATGAAAGAAAAAGGATTTTCCACATATATTGCCAGCTAGTGAATAACTACGGAGTCACAGAAGATGAACTTCGAGAAGCATGGCGAAGCAACAAACTGAAGGAGTTTCTCCTCTTCCGCGGCTCCCAGGTACCGTCTTCCACAGTTCAACGAGAAATACGATGGTTACATCAGCATGATGGCTTCGCCGCTGGTGCAGTGTGTGATTTAAGCGAGGATTTCAAATCGCAACTGCATTTGGTCGAGCCAAAAGATCGCAAAATCCCATTCGATGAGTGGAAGCCCCGAGAGAAACTCGAGGCATACGTATTCTTCTATCAAATTCTGAATGGATTTGTTCCAGAAGCTGACGAAGACAACTGGATTTTTCTTGGCTTCTGCACGGCTCGAGATCATGATGGTGTTAAAATGCTAGCAAACCTTTACAAGGTGCTTATCAGCAGGTGCAAATTTCAAGAATTTTGGAAGGCTATGGAACAGTCTGATATGGTCGCCCTATTTGACAAGTACGGCCTTGGGCACGCCATCGCGGAACTGCGCAATTTCGGAACCCTCATGAACTTCGTGGGAATCTGGCACCAGAGTGTTTGGGAGTTAAAGCGCTTCACCTTTCTACCGACCATAGAGCCGATGCAAGCCGCTGCTTTAGATTATGGGTTCTACAACTGTCAAACACCGCAGGAGCGAATGGATCTTCGACAATTGTACGCGGAATTCTTCGCCCGGGGTGGGGATGAGATGGGCCTTCATCAGGCCTGTATAAATGGCCAGTTGGCGTCTTTCTTGCTGTCAGAGTTGCAGAAGCTTCCTGTTTTGACTGAACTGCTGGCAAATCCCTATCCTTTAAAACGATGTGAACACATGGGTATGGTAGTGGAGAGTGCGATTCTTTGTTCAGAGTCTAACTATGAGCTTGTGAAGAAGGTATGGGAGGAAAGAGGAGAGAAGGGAGTTGTATTAACCCATCCTGATGAGCAAGATCAGGGGGTGGACAAGGGAATTATAGAGCGATCACTGTTTTTGGGAGCACCAGTGAGAATCAGGAAGACGGATATACAAGGGGTAACTTTGAAAGAAATGGCTATGATGTCTTGATATCTCTATTTATACAGCGTACGACAATGAAGGGTTGTTACTTTACACAGTAATGCTACTACGTACCTTGGTTTCTTGGAGATTCCGGATTCTGATTATGTTTTACATGGTTTCCAAAGCACTTACACATATAAATACAAATATATGGAAGTCTTGGGCATTATTTATTCAGCGAGTGTTATAGCAGCATCTCTTATACGAAGCATCGTCATACATGTAAAGTCGCACTGGTCTACACGTATTTAACCAAAACACTAGTCTCCAGGTGACCGCGGTAGAGCTTATAGTGCTTCTTTCCAGAAGGACCCTGCCAGCAGCGCGGGGCCAGCTCATAGGACCTGGGCATGACAGCGCATCTATGCTACATCGGAATTTTGTCTGGAAAGAGTGGTTTACAGGTAGGAGGGAATACTGTAGGGCAAATATGCGATTCCCAGCGGGTTTGTTTCAATGACTGAATAATACATTGTTGAGTTGGGAGGTTGGGCACGAGCCTCCCGGGGGGGGGGATCTATGAAATAAGGCGGCAGTGGCTCTCGCGCAACCAGATTTATAACCCACAACGAAGCCCTATAGATTCCACGGACTCTATGTGCATACATTGTAATATGACGTCTCTTAGGCTGTTATATACTTTATAAGCCGTATCTTACTACGCCCTCAATTTTCCGTCGCAGCTCAATAATGAAATATATGGGAATAAATATAGGCTATTTTACCACTAGACTATTAACAAAAACCTCGGTTCCTGTTTATAGCCTAAGGGGGCCTTATTCTTAGTTCGACAAAATGCGCTAAAGCCTTAGCGGTGGGGCCAGGAAAGAGTGTATGCGTATAGTTACCACCAAATCATGTGACAACTGGTACTGAGCATACCATACAAAAGTGTATAATACAGTTAGTCATCAATGTCAACACAAGATTGATAACTTATACTAGTTAACTAACTAGTTTTTATCAATTTACATGTAGTGAATTCGAGTTGTGAACATTGGTCAGTTGTACCATACATTGCAAATACAGACAGATTTGTGTCAGTTACTAGTTATGTATGTTTTATGTAACTAGTTATGGCCCTTTATGTGACATCAGGGCACCGCCACCAACATCGGGAGGCGCAGTAAATATGCCTGAGGCCACAATTCTCCGCTTACTTCCCGAGTATATATCCATGAACCAAAGAACTCCTCCCTCTCTCTCACTTCTCATACACAACTTCTCATACACAACTTCTCACTTTCTCACTACTTTCTTTTGTCCTCGTTCAAACCTAACCCTTTGATCATTCATCATTCCCAACATCCGAGCTTCCAGACTTGCAACCTATTCAAGTTAACTAACCGTACTTGTCGCATCATGTCGTTCGCCCCGCCTTCCGGGCCTCCCCCGCCCTCGGTACCTGAGGGATGGAAAGCGCAGTATGATGATCGTTACCACGCTTGGTGTGTATATACTCATCTTAACAAAGACCAAAGTACTGATAATCAGCTAGGTTCTATGTGGACCTTGCTACGGGCAAATCGCAATGGGACCGCCCTGAAGCCCCCCCACCGCGCGGTGACGGTAATTTTCCAACCGATTCTCTCCCGCCATCATACAGCAATGCCGGGCCTGGCGACCCAGCAGCACTAGCCAGTGCAGGAGACCAGAAGCAACATATGGGATCAAACAACCCCTATAACCCTTCAACGAATACTGGCCCAGGCAACGCCAGCCCTCACATGATCGACGAGGACGCACGGCTTGCTGCCAAGCTCCAAGCCGAGGAAGATGCCCGGGCTGGTACACGAGGAACCGGAGCCGGTCCAGGAGATAAAGGCGCGTCATCAGACTACTACAACAATGCGTCGCGGCCGCAGTCCACCGGCCTAGGGGGGTATGCAGCGGGCTCAGCATCGCATAGCCCGATGCCCGAGCAGGAACAGAAGCGCAGCAAGGGTGGATTTTTGAGCAAGCTGATGGGCAAGAGTTCAAGCAGCAGGCCGTCTCGGCCGCAGCAACAATACGCCTCGTATACCCAGCAAGGTCCTCCTCCTGGGGCATACTACGGCGGTGGTGGCTATCCTCCGCAGCATGGCCCCCAGCCTGGATATGGAGGTGGATATGGAGGATACCCGCAGCAGGGTGGATATTACCAGCAGCAACCGCCTCGCAGACAAGGTGGAGGAGGTATGGGGACTGCCGGCGCTGCTGCTTTGGGTGTTGGTGGCGGTTTACTTGGCGGTATGCTGATTGCTGATGCGATCGATGATCATCATGACAATGACGATTACGGCGGTGGTGGTGATGACTTCGGAGGAGGCGACTTCTAAGCCCAGTTGCGTTTCGATTTCTTTGATTGTTCTGTTCTTTTCTTCTTTGGTTTGTTACTAGGATCGACTTCGGGATAAGGGACAGGTCTCTCTGTACAGCTCGAGGGGCTTCTAGGCGTTTTGACATCGGGAGGGATTTGGGAGGATTGCTTTTGTTTCGCCTAAACAGCTCTAGTCATTTATTGGCATTTGGCTTCAATTTTATGAGTCAAGAGCAGTTTCAGTTGACGTTGTATCATACAATTAGCCACGAGACAATGACAAGATATCATACCATGCCAAGGACGGTCAATATAATGAAGTAATAATCTTCTATCCGCGCCTCCGGGCAGGAGCACTGGTATCTCTACCAGTTGAACCAGCCTGGGCCGCATCGTTGGCCGTGGGGCTAGGGGCACCTGTGCCCGCCATCCAGCTGGCCAGATCAAACCCACCACCAGTCATGGCATTGGTAGTGGCACCGGTGATGGGCGAGGAGCGAGAATGCTCCTCAAATTCGGCGCGCATCTCAGGATCCACTAGACAACAGGGTTAGGCCTCGGATAATTTAATTGGGGGGTTGTGAGGGATAGACGTACTGTTATCCATGAGCTTGGGCATGACAAGCATAAGACCTAGGGCGACAACTGCAAGCAAGACCATGGGGTTCTTGACAAGACTCAGGGGAGAGACTGCAGTTCAATGCAAGGTTAGTACAACTATAGACATTTATTGCAGGTTATATCAATGGGAGAAGAGGGGGGGGTCAAGCTCACATTGAGCACGCTGCTCATAGAAGACCTTTCGTCCAAGAACCTTGGCCTCGACAACCACATCAACCTGCTTCTTTCCAGCAACATCCACAATATATTTCTCTGCACCACGATTATCCCATGGGTTCCCGCGGAAAGTCTCCCAGATACCAAGAATGGATCCATCGGCCGCAACATCGACGCGGTAGGGGGCGAAGACGTAGTCGCCAGCGGAGCGAATATCAAGCAGGTAAGACTCGGGCTGAGCATCTGATCCCGAGGATGGAAGATCATGGAACACAAATGTCGCTGAGCGCGTCAGTGATGCGGAAAGGATGTGGTCTTTCCCACCAGAGGGCAGAGTAGTGAGAGTGGCATGGCTGGTTGCGGGGAGGACATGCGGGTTTGGGAGTGGCCCAGAGACGGGGATGGTAATTGTCAAAGAGCTGGCAGATACCAGACTGCTAATCCCCAGCAGGAGAAGAGAGGAGAGTGAAAAATGCATGGCGGAGATGTGTTGCTGTGGAAGACAGAGGGCCATGGGTTCCGATCAGCAAAGCAGTGTCCAGATCACGTGACGGATATCTTCTCCGGCTTAGATGTACAACATAACACAAGCACATCTACGAATCACCGAAACCACCATCTTGTCTTTTTTTCCTCCCCAACCCCCAGAGCATCATGCCTGTCTACCTTATTTCCAGGTACAAACAGTCCACAACAGTCTGGGGCTATATCCGACAAGAGACCCATCATTCTAACACCATATGAATAGGATCGCAGATCCCCTCTTCGCCTTGACCATGGGTGTCTCTGCTGCCCTCACCCGCATCCGCCGTGACCAGCGCGAACAGCACCCCGAACGCGCATCGGAAATCACATATGGAAGCATCGTACAAACAAGTGGGCATCGGTTACAACGGTGGTGGAATGGAGACTTCCAAGATGTTTAAACGGGAAATTGGGAGACTTCGGTTTGGAGTTTTGGTTTGGGAGACTTACCCAACGAGAATGAAAAGTAATATTGATTCTTGATTCCTGAATCTTTGTATTCTATTTGTATATATTTACCCGTCCAATTGCATGGAATGGTCATCTCCTCTACACTTGCGCTGTACAAGGGAACGCAATTTTTGTATAGCTTCATTTTACTATTTACCTAGTCTAAGAGGGCTGGCTAGCTTAATATTGAAGTCACTAATTATGATCTACAATCTACAGAAGATAAGAATGGTTGGAATTAAAAAAGAATTTTGATCCACTAGGAATTTTTTTTCCCCCAGGAAAAGAGAGATAACCTTGTATCTATGCAATCATGCGCAAAGCGCAAAAGGAAACCTTGATAACCCATAAGTTCGTAAAAACAAGACGTGAAAAGTAAACGACTGCCAAATGGCAAAGAAGAAAGAATCATTCAGAGCGAAACGTTTAGTCAAGCTCCTCGGGCTTCTCCTCAACCTCGTCAGCGGAGCGAGCACCACCCTCGGGGGCACCAGCGCCAGGGGGAGCCTGGCCACCGTAGGCAGCGGAGATGATGGGGTTGGCAACACCCTCGAGCTCCTTCTGCTGGGACTCGTACTCGTCCTTCTCAGCAGTCTGGTTGCTGTCGAGCCAGCCGATGACCTCGCTGATCTTGTCCTCGACCTTCTTCTTGTCATCCTCGGAGATCTGGAGCTTGCCCTCGGAGAGAGTGTTCTTGAGGGAGTAGGCGTAGGACTCGAGGCCGTTCTTGGCCTGGATGCGGGCGGACTCAAGCTCGTCCTCCTCCTTGTACTTCTCAGCCTCGGCAAGCATGCGCTCAATCTCCTCCTTGGAGAGACGGCCCTTGTCGTTGGTGATGGTAATCTTGTTGGACTTTCCGGTACCCTTCTCGAGAGCGGAGACGTTCATGATACCGTTGGCATCAACATCGAAGGTGACCTCAACCTGGGGAACACCACGGGGAGCGGGGGAATGCCAGTGAGCTCGAACTTTCCGAGGAGGTTGTTGTCCTTGGTGCGAGCACGCTCACCCTCGAAGACCTGGATCAGGACACCGGGCTGGTTGTCGGAGTAGGTGGAGAAGGTCTCGGACTTCTTGGTGGGGATAGTGGTGTTGCGCTTGATCAGAGGAGTCATGACACCACCAGCGGTCTCAATACCGAGGGAAAGAGGAGCGACATCGAGAAGCAGGATCTCGTTGGTGGACTTGGAAGACTGGTCACCGGACAGGATAGCGGCCTGGACAGCGGCACCGTAGGCAACGGCCTCATCGGGGTTGATGGACTTATTGGCGTCCTTGTTGAAGAAGTCGGAAACGAGCTTCTGGATCTTGGGGATACGGGTAGAACCACCGACGAGGACAATCTCGTGGACGGAGGACTTGTCGATCTTGGCGTCACGGAGGACACGCTCAACGGGCTCCATGGTGCCGCGGAAGAGGTCCTGGCAGAGCTCCTCGAAACGGGCACGGGTGATGGAGGTGTAGAAGTCAACACCCTCGAAGAGAGAGTCGATCTCGATGGAGGTCTGGGCAGCGGAAGAGAGGGTGCGCTTGGCGCGCTCGCAAGCGGTGCGGAGACGACGGAGAGCACGGGCGTTGGTGGTCAGATCCTTCTTGTGCTTGCGCTTGAACTCGTTGACGAAGTGGTTGACCAGACGGTTGTCGAAGTCCTCACCACCCAAGTGAGTGTCACCGGCAGTGGCCTTGACCTCGAAGATACCCTCCTCGATGGTCAGGAGAGAAACATCGAAAGTACCACCACCAAGATCGAAGATCAGAACGTTGCGCTCACCCTCGACCTTCTTGTCAAGACCGTAGGCAATGGCAGCGGCAGTGGGCTCGTTGATAATACGGAGGACGTTGAGACCGGCAATGAGACCGGCGTCCTTGGTAGCCTGACGCTGAGAGTCGTTGAAGTAGGCAGGGACAGTGATGACAGCGTTGTTGACGGTGCCACCGAGGTAAGCCTCAGCGGTCTCACGCATCTTGACGAGGATCATGGCAGAGATCTCCTCAGGGGTGAACTGCTTGGCCTCACCCTTGAACTCAACCTCGATAACGGGCTTGGTAGCCTTCTCGATGATCTTGAATGGCCAGTGCTTCATATCGGCCTGGACTTCAGCGTCCTGAAAACGGCGACCAATGAGACGCTTGGCGTCGAAGACAGTGTGGTGGGGGTTCATGGCGACTTGGTTCTTGGCGGCATCACCGATGAGACGCTCAGTGTCGGTGAAACCGACGAACGAGGGGGTGGTGCGGTTACCCTGGTCGTTGGCAATGATTTCGATACGGTCATCGCGGAAGACACCCACACAGGAGTAGGTGGTTCCCAGATCAATACCGACGGCGGGAGCCATGGTGGATGTGTGTGATCGTTAAAAAAAAAAAGAGAAAAAGAAGTCGGTGTGTAGAAAGAGATTCGTGAGTGAAAAGGGTAGGTAGTATACAAAGAGGAAGAGGGTATTTGATAGTGAGAGAAGAAAAGAAGAAAAGGAAAGGGACGAGGGCTGAGAAAAGCTCCTATATAGTGAGCGGTGTATTACTCCAGAAGCTTCTAGAGGGAGCCCTTTCCATGGGGATCCATGAGATTCCACGAGGTTCGGTGACCCAGCAACCACCTCATTACCTTCTTCGTTAAGACTCTAATAGGTTCCAGATGAACCTAGTGGAGTCTTCAATTCTACAAACTACTTGATTCTTCCTGAAATTATTGTGAACGATGTCAATTCCTATTTTTTTCTTTACTCTGATTCATGTTCTTTGACGTTCTCTTTTTTTTTTTTTAGCGGGGCTGAATGATGTAATAGTGGGATGACTCTTAAGGCGGTGTCAGATTATGGTATTAATACAGTTCAATACAGATTAATACATGATTCGGATATGATAATACATGATAATACATGATAATACACGTCGCCATGGGAGACCCCCTTGATTTGTATGTTTTGTGGGTGAAGGTACATATGTACATGTATGTATTGTTGGTAATGGTATGGTCAATTATGGATAACGTCATGGTGAATTCATGACCGCATCTAATCTCTGGTCTCTGGTCCTTCCAAGGTTCCATCTATGGATGTGTCATCCAAAGTTATCCTTGGATCCTTAGGACTGCGAACTACGGAGGGAGTGTTTCTCCGTCACTATATTATGTAACCATTCTTAACCCGGAAGCGGAGTAATATTTATCCATAATACCCTGAGGCAGAAAGTGAAGCCTAAGGCAGGAAAGCTAAAGTTCGCACTTTCTGTGAATATCTTCACCATACTTCTCTACCTTAGGCAGTCTGATTCCATTCTTTTCATCGATTATCTCTTTAAATCATAAATCAAGTAGCCTGTAAGGGTTATTTGTCTTAAGAACAGATAAAACCCTGCATATTTACATATTTATATATTTACACATGTTATTATTCTCTAACTAGTTAACTATATTATATTCTCCATAAGAAAATCAAGAACCTTGGAACAACCCGATGGTTTATATATTATATCAATATATATCCATACACAACCCTATCTTAGTCCACCATACTCCGAAGTATAGCCACAACGTGCAACATACATACATACCTGTGTGTCCCGACTTGGCCCGGCCTTTCCCCCCCTGAAGGCTTATGTTGTTTGCTGTAGGGGAAAATAAGAAATAAGAGAAAATGTTAGTTTCTCCGGGTTGACTCCGATTTGTCTAAATTTTGGAGACTCAGGGCTTGCGCCATCCGCGCTAAGCATTGATGTTTATTAACCTTGTAAATCAATGTACAAAAGGGTATTATCCTAAACTTGTCCAATCGTTGTCTGTTGGGGAAATGGCGAATATTTACTCCAGTCGCACATCATGAGAGATTTCTACCTCAAAAGAAAATATGTCAATATCGATGTGTGATACCTGATATTTTTTTTATCTTCCCCTTTCATCTAGTTTCCGCTAGAATCCTCTTCTTCTAAAATCCCCTTTCTCGCCATGTTCGCTGGACTGAAGCGTAAGTGGCCCGGGGACCAACTTACCGAGGTCAAAATAGAAAAAGACACTATGGGTTTAGAAGGTTCAGAGCTGCCTTCCAAACCCCCGGAGGTGGTAGAGACCAGGGTGGATGAGGAGAACCTCCATTTCAAGGGGGAGACAGCCGCTATTGAACAAGAGACACACAATAACCCCGAGATTGCTGCATTGCCCATGACGGTGAGACATCTGATCAATTTGACCGATGACCCCAACTTACCGACAATCACCTTCCGTTACTTTGTACTCTCGATCATCTTTGTTATCCCTGGAGCCTTTCTGTCGCAGATGAGCTACTTCCGCACAACCAAGGCACCATACTCCATTTTCTTTGTTCAAATTGCCTGTCACTATGCCGGTCACTTTATGGCCAGAATTCTTCCCGACTGGAAGATTGGGCTACCTGGTACTCGCTTTTCTTTTAGCCTGAACCCGGCCCCATGGAGCATCAAGGAGCATGTCTTGGTCACACTGACTGCAGCTTCGGGAGCTACGTACAACATGGGGTATGCTCCCATCGTTCTCGCAGAGCTTTGGTATGGTACACGAGTCAATCCGGCAGTTGCCATTTTCTTCATGCTTTCAATCGTATGGATTGGCTACTCCTTTGCTGCTCTGGCCCGACAAATCCTTTTGCCTGACCCGGAATACATCTGGCCCCAAGCTTTGATGCAGACCACTTTGTTCGAAACTTTCCGCAAGACAGACAACTCATCGGCTCTCGCTCGGCGCCAGATGAAGGTGTTCTTCTTCGCATTTCTAGGGATGACCATGTGGCAATTCCTACCAGAGTATGTTTTCCCATTCACCTCGTCCCTGGCCTTCCTCTGCTGGGTGGCGCCTCACAATCCGGTGGCCAACTTCATTGGCTCAGGTATTGGCGGCATGGGATTCCTCAACCTCTCGTTAGATTGGTCAAATGTGAATTGGAACGGATCCTCAATCATGACGACCCCGTACTGGACACAGGTCATCTTGTTCTTGGCATTTGCTTTCAATTGTTGGGTCCTACTCCCTGCAGCGAAGTGGGGGAATCTAGGTTCCTTCAAGCACGGACTCATGTCAAACAGCCTTTTCCTAGGCAATGGTACGACCTACCCAACCCTCGACGTACTCACCCCAGACTATCACCTGAACGCGACCGCTTATGAGGAGTACGGACCGATGTATATGGGCTTGCAAAATGTGTGGGCGACATTTTTCGACTACGCCAAACTTCCCGCAGCGGTCACTTGGATCTTGACGTTTGGATACGCACAGGTTTCCGGGAATGTCCGAAGAATCTGGTCGTCTCGCACAGCAGAGAAATCCCCCAAGAACGAAAGCATTCATCACCAGTATCACGACCGCCTCAACGTTATCCAGAGACAGTACAAAGATATTCCATGGTGGTGGTATGGGATTCTGTTCACCGTAGCCTTCGTCATTCTGGTCATATTTCTCGCACTCGGGCATCTCTTCATTCCAGTCTGGACCTTGTTTGTGGCCCTTGCGAGCGCTGCTGTCCTAGTCATCCCGTTTGCTTGGCTTTACGCCATCTCCAACTACCAACTTGAGACTGGCTCTTTCAACGAACTCATGTATGGTTATATGGTTCACACAAAGGCCGGCGAGGCCCACCAACACCCCTGTGGTCCTTCTGTTTATGGGTCTATTGCAGGCGACGCCTGGTATCGTGCACAATATATGCTCCAGGACCAAAAGATCGGTCACTACATGCACATTCCACCCCGCACGGTTTTCTTCTCTCAAATTTTCGGCACTTGTATGGGTGTTCCAATCAACTACGCTGTCATTCGTTGGATCATGGACACCAAAGGAGATTATCTGACTGGCAAGAAAGCGGATCCACTGAATCAATGGACAGGACAGTCCCTACGGACCTCTAACACAATGGGGGTTCAGTACGCTGTGCTTGGACCGAAGAGGCTTTTTGCTCAGACGGAAATGGCCGTGCTTCCCTGGTCATTCCTTATAGGGGCGGTGATTCCTCCTATTCTCTTCTGTTTCCACAGGTTCTTCCCCCGGCTTCGGATTGACCTGTGGAACGTCAGTATCTTCTTTGGAGGACTGGCGATGTTCTACGGTAACATTAGTACTGGTTACACATCTGCCATTATTGGTGGATATGTTGTAATGTATTGGGCTTACCGTCGCCATTTTGAGGTCTGGAAGCGGTACAATTACCTGATTGCTGCTGCGTTTGATGCTGGATTTAATCTCAACATGTTGCTCGTCTTCTTCTTTTTCGGAGCAGGCAAGCAAATTTCAATGCCGAAATGGTGGGGCAATAATGCAACGTCTGTGGAGAGATGCTTCGCTCCTGACAGCTGATTTGCTTTTATGATTTGAAAAACGAATAGCTGATATTATGAGTTCTCATATAAACGTTCGCCCTCTTTTCTTGCCTTTTCTTTTTTTTTTTTTCCACACTTCGTAAGTGCAGGCAGAAGAAGCGCCCTAGTATGATATACTATTGTTTGATGGCCTGGGGTTAACCTTTGCCCATATAAACATGTTAGATAACTAGGTAATAGGTACTATCTTGCTCTGTAGGTAAAATGTTTCAATATTTTGCTCTTTGATTTCATTTAATTCATGTTCAGTTGATCTAATACTACTTTACTACTTAGGTACTTCGATGATGGTCCTTGATGCCTCAGGGCAAGATTTGTCACGGGGCTTGATCACCCGAGACAGCCAATCAGACGGCGAGGTCGCCCTTACATGTTGTTTTGGTTTTGGTTCGAGGAGACCTTACTTTGCAGACCGTCTTTTAAATTCCCCTTGCCCCCTTTCCACCAACCCAACCTTCCTACAATTCTCCATCCACTCACTCCAAATAAAACCTCATTATGGCTGACCAGGCGACCATTTCCAACACCAACGAGCAAGCCTTCGCCAAGGGCAAGGGCAAGGCTGAACCCACCCAAGAAATGAGCATGGACGAGGAGAGCGAGTCGGAGAGCGAGAATGAGGTCGTGAGTCTACAATTTACACACCCATCTACTGATTTTATGCTAACCTTACGTGTTGCTAGGCTGAAAATGGTGTGTACCCCCACTACCACCTCCCAGCAACCCATGCCTGAATGACCACATGCGCCAGAATGACCATTGATTGCCTCCATACTGACCCTTTCTGCTCCTAGACGAAGATGATGACACACAAGACAACCTCAACGATCCTATCGACCAGAGCAACATCATCCAGGGTGGCCGACGCACACGCGGCAAGGTCATCGACTACTCCAAGATTTCCACTGATGAGATGGAGGATGACGAGGATGACGATGATGAATACGAGAGCCGCGAGGACAACGAGACCAACGATGATGATCAGATGCGCGACTAA